GCCTTCCAGTGCGCGAGTGATCGAGCACAACACCACACCAGCCGGCAAGCACACGCAAGCACAAGGCACTGACGCCAAAATATCCGACATGTTGATTTGAAATGTTGGTGCAGTCAAGCAAATAGCTAAGGAACGTCAGAAAAGGGAAGCAAGCTTTCATGACCTAGTGGAAAACAGCGCTGTCCATCACGCCTGTGTACTTCTGAAGTTCAGATTCATCATCAATGCTGTGTTCAGTAGCCCAGAATCCGTCCAACGATAGCTCTATACTGGCATAAGTCCGGAAGAATGCTGAAGAAACGCTTCTCGGCCAAACAACCGGCGCCCAGCCCGGCAAAGGCGCGCCTGGAGACTCTCGGGTGATTGGCAGTTCTTCCCTTGCCGAGAAGCCCACTGATGCGAAGCCCACTGATTCAATCCGGTCCAAAGGAAGGCACGCTGAGATGCTCGAAGCTGGGGAACGCATGGCGATGGATGCGTCTGCGACTGTGGCTATGCTGAAGCTGTGCGGGCGTGAGTGTGTAAAAAAAGGGAATGTCAGAACTTTATTGCTTTGATGATCCGTTGTGGGGTGTTAAGACGTCACCGAAGTGTACAAAGGCTGTCACACCTGCAACCTGTCACTGTCAGCCCCGGCCTCTTGTTGTGGCCACAAAAGTGGCGTAGGAGTTGGACATGGATGCATCAGATCTCGTCCCTTGGCTCAGAAAATTAAAATGAAAAGGTGCCAGGTCGCTGTATCCTCCACTGTAGCATCCGGAAGCATCAAAAGGCGATGCCAGAAACAAACATACATGAAACCTATGTTGCCTAACAGTTGCCCTCCAGGCCATCGAATAAGGCTGATCCAACATGAGTGAGGAAGTGCGACAGACACAAAATGTTTAAAGGGCAGACATGGTATTGCCCATTCATCTCTGCAAATCTGCCACATTCGCAAGCAAGAAAGGAGACTAGCCTTCCAATATCATCTAAACGCTCGCAAGCGGTCAGCCATGTGGACGAGACAAAGCATGCTTCCAAACAGAAGGCCGCGCGAGTGAACGACCAAACCAAAGATGCTAGGGGTTAACAAGTTTGACAAGTTCAACCAAGTCTGCTGCTGGGACTGGTCGTGCTCCAAGTGTCATTTGGCATCAATCCCTCGAAGTTCGGGGTGGCAGTTCCTTTGGGGGCTGGGCAACTTCAAACAAAGCGACCCATTCCCCGCCAAAGCTGCTGCCAAGCTCGGGCGAGCTGACTTGGGGAGACGGCAGGCTCCTCGGACGAGTCGAAAGAACATGCCAAGTAGCTTCCTCTCGCGACAGGACGGGTGATACGGGTGCCTAGCTGCACGATGGCCCGACCTGAACTCCGATTGACGTGGCTTCCTTCCAGCCGAATGCGAAAGGCAAAGCTGAAGGTCGCGATGCGCCGTCTCACTCCCCTTCTCGTGGCAAGAGGCGATGGTGGCATTGCAACTCCTGGTGATGGCATCGCACCTCAATGAGCGGGCCATGTTGCTGCAGTCACGGTAGTCTTTGGGACTGTACAGCTGGCTGGCTGTACAGAATTGTAGCAACAATAGATCCTACTAGACATGAAGCGTCAAAACAAGATATTCTGAATGAGACGTTGCCGCAAAGCTCGAGGGGAGTGTCTGTTCCTGAAAATCAGTGCCCAAATGCTGAATCACCAGCAGTGATCAGAAATCCGGAGATGAGTCTGTGGAAACACTGCAAAGGCCTGAGGCAACTGGATCACTGCAGCAAAGCAAGCGTTGCGACGTGGACCCCCACCCCACCCCCCCACCCCCCACCCCTCCCAAACAAAGGGAAAACAAGTAGGCCACTAGTTCATTGCTATGCGACAGGTGAGTTTCAGGAGTTAGGTGTCCTAAGTATGGCTTGTTTGGCTTGCTCGGACGTTTCCTTACCACCGGTTACAAAACCGGTGTGTGCGACACTATGATGAAAGGGCCTGGTTGAATCGGTGTCTTCCAAAGACCTGGCCTTGACCCTGTGGTGTATAGCTGCATCGCATTGTGTTCGCTTCGGGCTCAGGTCTACTCATGTCTAATCAAAATGAGCTATGTACGAGTCAAGGCTAGCTAGCCATGAAGCCATCGATGGTAACAAGTGCCTTGGCACGCTAGAAATGTGTCACGTCCAGTAAAATGGTTGCGAGCAAAGATCAATTTTCAGTTGGCCCTGATGCCTTGGGCACGCAATAGCTCGTCCACGCTTGTACGGCCCCCCCCCCCCCCCCAACCCCTTTGCTGGCACCACTTTTTGCCTCACCAGCTCTCACCATCTCTGGCCAATTGCATGTCGCCAATTTCGCGCACTCAAGCAAGGCCGTCGCCATCCGAATCCTCGTCTCCAGAAGATGCTTCGACATCACTGTCAGAGTCGTAGGTCTGTTCGCCAGGGGCATAGTGAGTCTCATCGCGGTCTGGTCTGATGCCAAAGCCGGGGTGGATAACCTCCCTGTCAGCAAACACATAGCTGCCTTGTGCAGGGTCCCATGCCATCCTTTCCGACTTGAACCTGTTCTTTAGGGCGACTCTGTTCAACACCCGGAAGACCGGCTTCTTGGGGTTGTCATACTGCACCACCCCCTTGTAGCTGAGCAGCTGCCCGTCCAGGCGGTTGTGGTGATCATGCACCGAGTTTTGCACCCTCCAGGCGCAGAACAGGCGGTTGGGGCTCTTGGCGCACTGCTCGGAGCACAGCGCGGAGCAGTAGCCCGCCTTCTGCCACTTCAGGGTGGCGCCCTTGGACCTGAGCCGAAAGCCCTCCAGCGCTGCCATGCCCAAACACAGCAGCGCCCGGCCCGCACTGCGCCAGTCCTGGGGGAAGACCGGCAGCAGCGCCGCTGGCACCGTCGTCGTCTTGTACACGGGGTCATCCAAAGGCTTCCCGTGGTCCCAGCGCCGTGCAAAGCCAATGGGTCTGGGGGGCGCCGACTGTTTGCCCCGGATGCTCGCTGTGCCAGCGGCCGTGCCCTGCTTGCCTGGGTTCACGTTGTAGGGGTCATACTGCTTCCACGGCTTTGCTTCTTGAGGAGGGCCCGACATGGGGCCAAGGGTGCACCGAGTCCGTCTGCTCTAAAAGCGCAGATGATTGCTATTAGCTTCCGAAAGGAAGAAGTTGGAGGCTGAAGGGTTATCAGCGTCCGAACCAAGGTGTCAACTCAATATGCACGTGATTCTTTCCTGGTCTGAAGTTGCAATGCAAGGGTAAGCTAGCCGAGCCTGCAAGCTCCCACGGAGCGACCGGTCAGTCAGGGCGTGAACACATGTTCAAGAAGGTTCCAGAGAAGAAAAAGAGCGTGTACTATACACATGCTGCTTGCAACTTGGGCCCTGCTTCTCTCGACGCCAAACACGAACAAATGCAGCTTCACCCAAAGGAGATGCGCAAACCACTGCTCTTGGCAAAGCTTTGTTCCAGCAAACAACAATTGTAAAGCTCGGGCATGGACCTGCCCCTCCCCCCCTCTGTGCAAAGAGGCGCGAGGAGGTGGAGCAACCTGATCCTCTTGCTGGACATCTGGAGCCTCGCGCTCACCAGTCCTGCAGTGTGTGGACTAGGTTGCAGCTCCGAAAAACAAAGGAACATCGCTAGGCATGCAAGGGACAGCCAAAACACACTCGAGACCTATCTCTAACAAGCACTGAGGGGAACACTCTTACAATTGGAGGACTCCGACCCTGCTTTTGTCACCTGGCCTTTCCATAGGGTAGAAGAAGGCAGGTGAATCGAAAAATCCGAAGCTGACACAATGGATGAACCCACAAGCCAGGAACTCTCCTGGCGGCAGCAGGCTTCTGAGCCTGAGCTGCAGTGGGCTGAATGAGCTAGGCCCTACGCCAAGGCATCGCACCATTGATCAATGAATGCCGGCTCTCTCTTTCTCTCTCTCTCACACGCTAGCAGGGGTAAGCATGTCATGTTTGATGTCACATGCCTTGGGCTGTGTTTGTGCCTGAGTGCATGCCTGTGTGCTGTTTGTGTTTGTGCAATGACCCTCCCTCGTTGAAAGGGCACACAACAAGCTATTGACAGGCATGAGAGACGGGTGGCAGGTCACATCTGACATCTGGCCCTATTGCTTCACAAAATATCTCTAGCGCAGGACGTTCAAATCGTAGGACGGAATTGTAGCACGTTCAACTTTGTTTCATCGCTTAGATTGTGACATGGCTTCACGACTTGGCACTCTTGCCAGGAAGTCTTCATGCCGCGACTTAGCAACAACTCTTGCACCAGGAACAGCCAGAGGCTGCAGCTGCAAAGCGCTTGTATACAGCAAGAACAGCAAAAAGTCCAATTGCAAGCATAACGTCATAAAGCAAGCAATTGCAAACAGCAAAAGTTCCGCGACAACAGCACCTGCAAAATCAAGCTCAATTCCGCGAATGGTAGAACTTAGCACAAGTAAATGTGCCATTCTGCCTCCTGTAAAACTTTCATCGCTCCACATTTTGCCAAGGTGCGGCGGCTGCCGGGGCCAGGCTCGGCTGCCGCTGGCCCTTTGCTCCTTGGCTATCTGCTGCCATTCCCCCTTCGTGTGAAAACTCGCTGCAAGGTCTCTCTCAATGTGCAAACACCGATCCAAATCGTTCCTCAGGGTCTGAATCGCAACCTCATCACTGACATGTAGGGCAGACATGAAGTCCCAACTCCGTCAGCGTGCAGCCTTCAAACCTTGCCTGCTGGACGGTTCCCCTGGGATTCCAACAAACATTGTGCGTTCAGCAGCTGGGACAAAGTTTAAACTTTACAATTAATCATTGTGCATTAAGCAGCTGGGACAAAGTTCGAACTTTACAAAGAATCATTGTGGTGCCGCCCAGAAATGATTGCACGGGCCAACTTGTGCTTCGTGGCATCCTCTCAATCGCTGCTGATCCAGCGACACACACACACACACACCCGCGCGCACACACACGCACAAACTTGCGCATGTCAAAGTCTCAACACACCACTGCACCCGTGCTTTAACCCTATGGCGGCTTGGCCTCAGCAGAACGAAAGTTACACTGAACATCTTCAAGTTCGGTTCAGATCTCCAAGGTTTGATGTTTGTCATCATGGGCTTGCCAGGTGGCCACTCGGTACATCGCTACAAACTCAAATCTCATACGGACCTCACACAGCCTGCATTCCATCAAGAATCGCCAGCAAAAAAGGTGGCTGGACAGCGCCAACAATAGCCTGTGACACGACACTGTGACCAGCAAGTCAGACTGACTTTTCTCCTCCCTGAGGGACACATTGTCCGTCTCAGTGCGAATGATCAGATGTATGTGGTCATCATACAAGTGTGGCACACAGCAGCGGCCGCAGGCCAGGCTTCCAACTAGTCCCCCACCAGTCTGTGCCCACTTGCCTTGACTTGTTTTTCCCTCAACTGACAATGCTGTGCTGCCAACTTCGCCAGCCTCACACACACACACAAACCCACGCGCACCCCCCTTGACAAATTGGCTGCCTAGTAGCTAGTAAGTACATGCCACCCTTCTAGCCAGCAGTTTTGTTCTTTTGATAAACGTACAAGGCGTGTAGGCCCGCTTGCTTCAATGCAAGGCCTCAGCAGAACGAAAGTTATTCTGAACATCTTCAAGTTCAGTTCAGATCTCCAAGGTTTGAAGTTTGTCGTCATGGGCTTGCGAGGTGGCCACTCGGTACATCGCCACAAACTCAAATCCCATACGGACCTCACAAAGTCTGCATTCCATCAAGGATCGCCAGCAAAAAAGGGTGCCTGGACAGCGCCAACAATGACACGACACTGTGACCAGCAAGTCAGACTGACTTTTCTCCTCCCTGAGGGACACATTGTCCGTCTCAGTGCGAATGATCAGATGTATGTGGTCATCATACAAGTGTGGCACACAGCAGCGGCCGCAGGCCAGGCTTCCAACTAGTCCCCCACCAGTCTGTGCCCACTTGCCTTGACTTGTTTTTCCCTCAACTGACAATGCTGTGCTGCCAACTTCGCCAGCCTCACACACACACACAAACCCACGCGCACCCCCCTTGACAAATTGGCTGCCTAGTAGCTAGTAAGTACATGCCACCCTTCTAGCCAGCAGTTTTGTTCTTTTGATAAACGTACAAGGCGTGTAGGCCCGCTTGCTTCAATGCAAGGCCTCAGCAGAACGAAAGTTATTCTGAACATCTTCAAGTTCAGTTCAGATCTCCAAGGTTTGAAGCTTGTCTTCCAAGGCATTCCAGGCAGCCACGCCATGGAAAAGCGACCAACAAGCCCAGCAAGCTGTCACGTCATGCTGCCGTATTCAGACACAATCAGCATTACAGCAAAACTCTCACACTCACGCACACCCAAAGAGAGAGAAAGAGAGAGAGACGCACGTGCTTGAGAGAAAGAGAGAGAGAGACGCACGTGCTTGCGCCCTTTGACAATTTGACTGCTTAGTAAGTACATGCAAGCCTTCTAGCCAGCAGTCGCATTCCTTTGCAAAACTTGCAAGGCGTGTAAATTAGGCACGGTTTGCTTCAATGCAAGGCCTCAGCAGAACGAAAGTTATACTAAACATCTTCAAGTTCAGTTCAGATCTCCAAGGTTTGAAGTTTGTCATCATGGGCTTGCGAGGTGGCCCCTCGGTACATCGCTACACATGCAAATCTCATACGGACCTCACAAAGTCTGCATTCCATCAAGGATCGCCAGCAAGAACATGTTTGCTGGACAGTGCCAACAATAGCCTGTGACACGACACGTCCAACAGCAAGTCAGACTGCACCATGAGGTCCCCTTTGTCAGGCGAGATGGAACTGAACTGAACCCTCTCTCAAAGAAACTAAAAGCTTTTGAAAGAGAAAGAGAAAGAAAGAGACGGAAAGAGACGGCAAGAGACGAGAGCCCAACCTCTTTATTTCTCCAGGCAAGCCTCCGGCCCCCGCTCGCCCAGCCACCTCCGTGCGGCCGATCTCCGCGCGGTTTCCGCTGGGGCTCCTGGCCAAGAGCCAACACGGCCCTTTTTGAGGTGAAACCGCACAATTTGGGGTCAGGAAACAGCAAACCCTGAACCATGGATGGTTTCCATTTGCCGGTAACACTCTAAGACCGTGGCGAAAATGGAACCCAGATAACAAGTGTGTATCTGAGAATATATATATATATACACTTCTAGACAATGCAACACCTCGCACCCTGACTCCTTTGCAAAGCTCTGAGACAGCCTCATGTCTTGAATAGCAAGCGGAGAGATTGAAACCCTACGTCCATTCTGCCCAGAACAGTGGCGTGACACCTGCTTTACACTTACGGCCTTTGCAAGCGCCTTCTGTCACGGCAGTGTTTGGCTTCTCAGGCTGCAAAACTCCAAGTGTGCATGGTGCACCTCCGGCCAACTGGACTCCGGCGTATGAGAAGCTCCGAGCGCACGCGGGGCAACCGCGGCACCTGGCTTTCTGCATTCTACTGCCCCGGCAAGAAGCCTGCCCTTGATGTTGTTCACCTTCTGCAATTCCAAGTCTAATTTGCATACCATGTCAGGCCGAGCAAAACTCCACCAGCCGCGCTGCCATCATGGGGTCAGGGAGAAACGAGCCTGGCTCTTCAAGGATAACCTCCTCGATGGGATCAGCGGCGCAGGGCCAGCTGAAAGGCGCCTCGCAGGGGCGTTCCAACACCTCCAACTGGCAGGAAAGAACCACTCAACCCACTCCCGCCCTTTCCCGCTTCTTGTCTCCAAATTGAAACATCTTGGAGCTCCCCGAATGAGGCCCACACGTGATGTGGTTCAAGACATTGGGAAAGCCGGTGGTGCCCTTTGTGGTTGAAATTTGGGTGGCCCCTTCTCGACCTCCCCAAACCAAGAATAGATATATGAGACACAATCGATATTCATTGAGTCAAAATGTTTGGTGTCCTTTTGGTTTCTTCTAAATATCAACCGAAAGGGGAATGTTGAGAAACACTCATTTCCCCACGGATTTTCTCAGCGCTAATTTCGGCCGCGCTGCGGAAGCTTCAGCAGCACCTCCTTTGGCGCTTCAGTCGCAGGCCCCCACTGTGCGCACATCGGGACCCTGCGGCCAAGGCAAAAAAAACTGGACGCGTTGCTGCCAAAGCAATGACCTTGGGGAACGGGAATCAAGCAAAAACAAAAAACACGGTTTGACCACATAGCCTGGCAACAGTCTCACCTATCTCAATTCAAAACTGAGCCACAAACACCCTTAACATATGAGCAACCAGTCCCGTCTTCCTCAGCCCAGACTTTGTTTGTAAACCAGCCCTTCCTTTGGAAGCCAGTGTCAACATGGCAGGGTCAACGAGAGGCGCAAACTTGAAACCAATCGCAGCCAAGCGCCATCCCATCTGCTCCCCCAGGGCAAGAAAACCTCTCCAGCCCCGACGTCGGGTCACACAAACCCAGCCTGATGCACGCGCCACAAAAGCACTGCCTCTTCTCCAGCGGCGAGGGCGTCTCCTCCTCCTGGGAAACACGCTCGGAGCACTTTCGGCAGAAGGATGTCTCATATGCATTCAAGCAATTCTGATCGCTTAGGAGACGAGTGCCCTGGAAAGACGCATGCTGTTGCAGGGCTTGAGTGAGTCATTGAACAACAACCACTAGGCATTCCCACACCCTGAACTAGGACATGGAGACAAATTAGGTGCATGTCACACAAGTCAACCCACAACAGTTCCAGCTGGAAAAATATGAGGCGAACGTTGCAACCATGTGTTGCACACAGCAGCAAGCCGAGGAAGAGGCAAAGGGCCAGTACATGACTGACTTCTTTCCCGACTCAAACAAGTCTAAAATCAACTGAAGCACGCTGTCGGGCTGGAACCTGAACGCCTCGAGACTAATCGCCCCTCAACCGCGGCTCTCCTTCTGGGCGCGTGCGGGGTCCCTCGTTGCCACCCTGCGCCGTTCGCAATCAGACAGACTGCCCCAACACTCGCAACACTCGCCAATCCCACGCCCGCACACACCTTCGCCCTGTGCGGCACTTCTGTCGAAAGCTTGGCGACCCGCTTGGCAACACAACAAAAGAACAAGAGGCCTCAGCATCAGCAGGGTGGAGGCTTTCAGCTTCCGCTCCCCCGCTTCCGCCAGGACCTGGTTCAGCGAGCCTGGGACCGGAACCAAACTGAGACAGGACTGAGACCCAGAGATGCTGTCCCCAAAAAATATGCCCAAAATCCGTGCAAGGTGCTGTTTCCAAAGGAAAGTAGGTGTGCATGTTGGCTAAATGTGCACTAATAAGCAATGCTGCTCTTCGAGGGAAAATATCAGTCAGCGATCACCCTTCACTGGAATCCTTTGCAATCTCCGCAACAGGGTGCCGATCCGTGCCAAAGTCCACCCAAACAAATGAGCCCAATCCTTCATTGCGAGTTCCCAAACAGCGACCGCACACTCCACCAGTCCTTCGGATAACGCTCGGGCCAGCGACTCGCCATCCTGAGCCATGCCGTGGGCTAGAGAAATGGAAGCAACTGTGCCAAGACGATGCAAGTCATTTCCCGCTGCATGTTCCCTGCATGTTCTCCAATGAGCTCCAACGATATGAGCAACGTGAGACATCCGGCCAGGGAAAACACAGATTGCCATAGGCCTAAAGGTGTGAGGCTCGTGCAGCTGCAACGAAATGGCACTTGCACAGAACCGTGTAGAACAACAACCCCGGCGCTTCATGGGTGGCTGGACTGGACCCGTCCAAACATGTTACCCTTCATTTACTTGCCGCTGTCCGGCCAGGGCTCAGTGATAGATACCTTGTGCAGCTTCTGGTATACCTTCACCAAATCTTTGGTGCTCCAGCATGGCTTGGCTTTTTGCAGCAAGGCGTACCTTGGAAGCTGTCCGGTGCAAAAGATGACCCGGTCAGCAACAACAAAAAATGGCGGACAAGATCTGCTATCTTCCTCCTCTAGGTACCTAGTGCAACCAAGTGGCACAGTAACAGGGGGCTGGTCAGGTCTGTGAGCCACCATGTTCCCAGCGGCAAATGCTTTGTGATCCCGAGAAAATAGTCTGTGGTATTCATTCATTGGTCTTCATTTATTCTCTCCGATAACTACCGGCATGTCAAGTACGAAAAGAAAGCAAAGATCTCTGTAGCCTGAGAAGCTACGGAGTCTCCTCTCAACAAGGCACCGTTCGTAAGGGCTGTGTGTTGTCCTCTCGGGCAGTCAATACCCAAATGGCACAATGTGGGGCCGTGTGGCTGTCTTGCAATGAGGCCAAGCTGGTCGAGCCAAGCGAAACATCGTGCCACAGCCTCGCTCCACAAACAGAATCTCAGGTGGAAGCTATGCGAGAGGTGGGGGGCATGGTGTCAAGCAGAAACTTCACGTCAACCCAGAAAGTCACTTAGCTTGCTGGCTTGTTATAACCAATGCCAGCCCTGACCTCGAAACATGTCTAAACAATGTCCAAACAATTTCCAAATATGTCCAAGCAAACATGTGCTTGCAAACAGCGTCTCAAAATTTCTAAACAATGTCCAAACATTTGCCAAACATGTGCCAAACCCTTTGTACTCACCTGTATGTTTACCCTTTGCTTTGAGCGTTCTGGTCTCCCGCCCTCTGAAAAACAACCAAATATGAAAGAATGCGCGTGCGATATTAGGAAACGACAAGAAAATCATTGTGTTTCCGTGACTTGATTGCGCTGGAGAAGAAAAAAAGAAAAAGATGGATGTCGAAATTACGGCTACATGTGCAAAAATTGATGGATAAATATGCCTACAAACCCCTACCGTTGCCGTCGCTACGTTTCACAGGACAAAACAAGTAAATAAGCAAAAAGCATGGAATATATAACAGAAATAATTGTTGCCCCAACATGTTATAAGCGTGTTTTTTTTTCTAAAGGCAAAAAAACCGTCTGTATTGCTTGCACACGAAACAAATATGTATATATGCAGAGTAACACACCCCGCCCTGGAATACTCAGGTTTTAACATTCACATGCTTGCTGTAAAAATGCATGCGACATGCACTGCTCAGCTTCTAAAAATGATGCTCAAAAATGCACTCTTGTTTAGACCTAAACTATAGCTTCAGTACTTCGTGCAATCCAGGATGTGCTAGCACCTGCTGGCATATCCTGGGTTGAAGACCCAAGATTGAAGATTATCTGACAACTTTTGCTGAGATTCTTCAAATCTATACTTCGGGGAATCCAGGATGTGCTCGCACGTGCTAGCACATATCAGTTTAACCGAAGTATGGATCAGAAGACTTCCAGAAAGTGGTCTGAGAATCTTCAATCTTCAATCCAGGATGTGCTAGCACGTGCTAGCACATCTTGGATTGCCCTAAGTACATATTTGAAGAATCCCAGAAAGAGTTGTCAAAGAACCTTCAATCCTCAATCGTCAATCCAGGATCTGAAAAGGCGGACAAGCAGAGCACGTTCCAAGAGTCAAATGGTGGATGTGCACCTCCTGCATTGCCAACAAGGGAAACGTGTGTTTTGAAAACTTTACAGCTTTTGTGGGACTTGAGGGGCCAGGTGGACGATTCTCAAAAAACATAATCTGGAGATCCTCAATCTTCAACGCAGGTGGGAAAACCTTCAAGAGATTAGACAAAACTGTCAAGCTTTTTGGTGGCCAGGATTGAGGATGTTCTAAAACGATGCCTGTGGAATCTTGAATAGTTGGCCTTCGATCCAGGGCAACACGATCGGGGTGAATGCTGAAAACACCGCGTTTTACAGTGCCAAAAATACGATTGTCTGTTCTTGGTTTGGCTCAGTTCTTGCTTGGCTAGAACCACATGGAGTTAGATAAGGACAACAACCCTCATGAAATGTTCTATTGATTCCAGCTTTAATTGGCTATGACAATATCTGTGTTCTCCAATTGACTTGTGAAGCGCACAAGAAACTGGAACCGATTAAAGTTGAATGTGGCTTGAACTCGACATCATTTTAACTGTCATATTCTTCCTATACTTGCTTTTCAATAGTTGCTCTTGACAGTGCTTGAATCGTATTAGAGTGCTGGGGATGCACTGCGCTAGGGCGGAGGCTGTTGCTAAGCCAGCAAGGGCACCACCCAGTCCAGCCACTGCACCTATCATGGCAAAAGTCACCGCTAGCGCCACCCAACAGCACAGCTTCCGATGCATCCAATGGCAAGCCACTTGGCACCCTTGGCCATGTCAGTTTCGCGACCACTCCGAGGTTCGGTACCTTCTGGGCAATACCTTTCCCTTTTGCCTTATCTTCAATGCAACTTCCTCCCACCTCTTGGGTGGCTCTCAGCTGACTTCCCACAAATGTCATAAACTCCTCTGTCTTGGCCTCAACCTCAGCAATACATGCCTTCTTCAGCTGTTTCACCTTGATTGAACATTTTTTTTAAAGTGCTCTCAGATCCTTGGTCACTCTCTTGGCCGCGTCGAGCTCACTCGAGGAAAAGGAAGAAGAGTAACTCCTTATTTTCTGGGTCTTCTGGTGGGCAAGCATATCTTCTGCGTCAACATAGATTCGTATGGCTTCTTCGACTTCTTCATTGGTATGCTTCTTTCGCATGCGGTCATAGACATGTTCATCCTCAACAAAAAAGCTCCGCTTGTGCACTGCTGCATAGTCGAAACCTGCAGCAGAAATGTTCTTGTTGATGTCCTTGAGTTGGTCGTGAATGCTGCCAAGTTGCTTTCTCCTCACAACTGAATGCCACATGTTTTGCGTCGTCGAAAGGCTTTCCCACACATTGCCCTTCTGCTCCTCAAACTCTTGCAAAGCGATCACATCCTTCACCAGTTGAGTTTGATTGGCATCACTCCACTGGCCGCCAAATTTCTGGTAAATTCTACCAAACAGTTCGGCTTTCTCCAAGATGTTTCCATCTCATCTGGTGCCTCCAAAAGCGCATCCTCAAACCCACGGGATGCCAGGACCCTTTCTACACATAAGCAAAAATTGGCCAGCTTTTCATGAAAGGCACATACAATCATTCACAAACCTCGCTAGTCTCGACATTTCTTGAGCCATCTTTGAGATTGCGGATTCCAAACTGAGCTCACTTTCTCAGAATTTCCTCAATTCTGTGGTTCTCTGTACAATTGCGATCATGGTGAAGCTGCATCAGCTGTGGTTCCGCCTCCAAAAGCAAGCTAAAGCTAAAGCAAAAGCTCTTGCGGCAAAACAAACGACTCCAGCTGCAGAGCCCCGATCGGCTGGGGGGCGTACTGTGGCGGATCCAAACAACGCCGCAAACGGCCGATGCGCTCGCAGCTGCCGCCAAAGACCTGATCCTGCAAGCCCGGTGAGGGGAGGGGTTTGTTGAGCGTTGTTCCGGTATGAAAAGTTCCGGCAACTTCAAAATATTGCGAACTACAGTTCTCTCTCTCTCTCTCTCTCGCTCTTCTTCTCTCTCCCTCTATATTTTTCTATGTTTATCTCTTCCTCTTTTCTCTTGCTCTTGCTCTTGACTATTGTCTTCCTCTTTCTCTTAGTCTTCTCTCTGTCCTCTTTGAACTTCTCTGTCACTCTTTCGCATTGTCTTTTTTCTCTTTCTCTTTCTCTTTCTCTTTCTCTTTCTCGTTCGCTTTCTCTTTCTCTCTCTCTTTCTCTTCCACCTGTATCTCTTCTCTACGTTTTTCGCTTTCTTTCCCATTCTCTTCCTCTTTCTCTTTTTTGATCTGTCTTCCTGTTTGTAAAGCGATACAAAGATCGAGAGATACAGACAGGCAGACCGGCGTAGATAGCAAGATTGCTAGGTAGTCGATGGCCAGCTGGATAGACTGCGAGACAGATAGATAGTTAAGTTGATTTGTGTGAAGGTAGGTAGGTAGACACGATCGCTTTACTGCTCTATCCCTCTATCTCCCTATCTCTCTATCTCCCTATCTCCGTGCCACTATCTCAGCTCTCCGTCGCCTCTCTATCTCTATATCTCCGCCTACCCTACCTACCTGCCTACCTATCTGTCTTTGTGTCTACCCTCTATATCTAGCTACTCAGTCTGTCTCTGGCGATGTAACTTGTTTCTTTTTTTTGTGCCTATCTGTCTCTACTTGTCTATCCTATCATCCTATCTAGCTAAGATGTATCTATCTGGCTGTGTGTCTGTCTATCTACCAATTCAGCTATCTATTTGTTTGCCTATCCATCGGCAAGCAAACTATCCATCTACCCCGTCAACCTGGCTATTTGTCTGCCTACCTATCTGATGTCGATTTGTCTACCTATCTATCTCTCTCTCCTCTCTCTCTCTCTCTCTCTCTCTCTCTCTCTCTCTCCCACTCGCTGTCCCTCTATGCGAGCGTCTGTCTCTATCCTTCATGTCTGTCTATCTTCCTGTCTATCTATGTTTCTTTCTTTGTCAGCTTTTATCTCCTTCCTTTATCCCACCTATCTATCCTTTCTTGCTGTTTATCTTCATTGTTCTTTCTATCTATCTGCGCCTGCCACGAAATCTACACCTCACCTTGTGAAAGCGCCGCACCTGCCACAAAATGTTTACCTGACCTTTGCGAAACTGCTGCGCCTGCCAGGACATCTGCACCCGACCTTGCAAAAGCCACATGCCCGACCAAAAAGCAGGCTCTCGATCTTGCGAAAGCGCTGCGCCTTCCACGATATCCGCATGTGCCAGTTTGCACCGCCATGCCAATGGGATTTGCAACACGTCCGCCAAAAACACCGCGCCTCAACAAATCTGCGCCTGAGTCTGCAAAAGCTGCGCCTGCCAGGAAATCTACACCTCAGGCTGCTCGAGAGTCGCGCCTGCCACACAATCTGCACTGCAGCTTGCTGAACGGGCGCAGCCCTGAGCCGGGCCCGCTCCACACCCGTTCCCAGACCACCCTACGTCGGGCACCGCAACCGAGGAAGCTTTCAGCCCGCCGGAGATGCCAAAAAACCCGCAGAGTGTCACTGTGTTTCGCTACTTCGCCCGCCGCACGCCCATGCATGTTTGCTCGCACCCACGCACTCTCTCCGCATCTTATCAGTGCGCAAGACAACCTTGTAATTAGTGTGCGTAACACGGAAGTTCCTGCAAAACT